TATTTTTCTAAATTTATACTAGTTTTTGTAATAGTAAATATATGCAAGAAGACAAGATAAATTAACAAAGTTGATAGGATGTCTCTTAATCAAATTTAGTTAGTAATTTAAAAAAATCATTGTTATGGAATTTAAGCATGACATGTTTTGTTATAAAACTTTTATTTTGTGGAGTTTTAGTTACATAGCTATAATGCTTTGTTTATTTAAGTGTAAATTTGAAATATAAATTTAAAGTAATTATATATAATGATTATAGCAATAAAATATGATTTAAGAATTAAAATTTCTAAAAATCTCGGTGATGTATATTGGACCTTGGTTTTATTTTATTTCTATTTAAAATTTTGAAGTTTTTATCTTTATAATATTTTAAGGGAATGTTAAAGCGACCCAGATTTATACTAAAGCAACCCACCATCATTACCATCATCCCCACCCTGCTCGTTCTCAGCCCAAACTCCCTCCATTCCCAACTCTCATCCCCTTCCCTCGTTCCCCATACCTAATCCACATTCTTACTCACTCCATTCACAGCCAGAGCAGTAGAATTTCTCTTCTGCGCTCCCTACTTTGCAGAAGAGGTTGTTTACAATGCTCATATATATAAAATTTGAATTTGCTGTCAATGACAGCGATCGCTGTCTTTGTGATCGCTGTCTTTGTCCACACAGTTGATCATATGTCGACACTCCGCCAAGGAAGTGTTGTAATCGCCGACTTCTCATAACTCTTTGAAGCTCCTCGGTGGAAATGAAGCCATTTTCGTCAGCATTAAACACATCAAAAGTAGACTACAGATTATCGTTCTCATGGCTACACGATTGGCCACTGCCCGAGCGGGATGGGCTGGTTTCGGGGGAACCCTTCTCAGTATGAAAAGCAATAAACTCTCGAAGGTCGATGAAACCATCGCCATTTCCGTCTACTCTACTCATCAAACTCCGAGACGTTGAGAATGCTGGTCTTTCTCATCGTTCTCCTGTTGTTTAAGGATCAAGATGTTCTCAATATAAAGCTGCTGCGAGCATTGTAAACAACCTCTTCTGGATTGGCAGAGGAAAAATTCTACCGCCTTGGCTGGGAGCGGAGGGGGTCAGTGTGCGGATTAGGTCTTTGAGAGTTGGGAATGGAGGGTGCGTGAGCTGGAAACGAGCAGGGTGGGGATGATGCTAATGATGGTGGGTTGTTTTAGAAAAAATCTGGGTTGCTTTAATATTCCCCTATTTAAAATGTTTATTATTATATTTATAATTATTTTACTAAATACATTCTTATCTTTTCATATTTTGAATATTATAAATGTAAAACTTCAAATTTTGTATTGATTTTTTGACAAGTTAGATAGTTATAATCTTCAACTATTTATTATGAAAAAAATAAAAATATAATAATGGATTTTTAATTATTTATTTTAATCTATTTTTAAATTAAGTTTTTTTGTTAAATTTTTAAAAAATTATAAAATATTTATTTTAAAATTAGCACCACAATTTATATAAAAAATAAAAATAAAGTACTAGAAGTTTTAAGTTTAAAGTATCATTAAAATAAAATTTAATGTCTATTATATTGGTACAAATATAATTTTAATGAGCTCGTATAGAAGCAATTTATAAATATTTTAAAGAATTTTTTTAAGAAAATATGTTTTTATTTTTATTTTTACTAATAATATTATTATAAATTAAATATTAAAAAATATATCAAGGACATGAATTTAAAAAATCAAAAACTCAATATACTCTTTTGTAACTCAAAAAGAATAGATATTTACTCAAAAATAATATAGTATTGAAATTGGAATGGCTATTGTCAAAGACAAGAAGACTAGAAAGTCTTGAAATAAGACTAAGGGCTAAAAAAGTATTGACAAGAGTGAATAAGGCTTCACTCTTGCCTCCATATATACTATCAACTAGGAGCTATGTAGCAACATCCTATAGAACCTCCAACATATGTGTAATTTGCAAGACACATGTCTTAAATTGCAAGAGAAGTTTCATATATGTGTACCATATTGTTAGCTTACACTACAAGCTATTTACACGTGTGACACATGGCTAACTTGTTGGCTTAGTTTCTAATCTATTAATCAACTATAAACATGTATATAGTCAAATATGCATCTATGAAGCTTCTAAAAAGCTTCTCCATAAGATAATATCAATTCTATCTATATTTACCTTCTACCCAACATCTTTTTTAAGATAAAAATGTATGTCCAAGACAATATATTTCTATGCTAAATTTACCTTCATATTATTAATATAACACCTTGAATTCTCATGATTAATTTTTTCTTAAGTCCTCCATTTCTAGCCCTTATTCTTTCTTTTGTGTTCCTTGTCTCCTATTCCTAGCATCTATCTTGTGTTCATTTAGGGGTGTTGTATTGACAACTTTATATATCTATATATATAATAATAATAATAATAAAATGTAAGGCATTTGATACCAAAATCTTAGAAAAAATTGTTGATACTTGATGATATTGTTAAAAGTGGTTGTTGAATGTCATTGCATTTCAAACATTCTATTGGAGAATAACTATAATTGGTTTAATAATAATAAGATAATTAGTTTATCTTTTGATTTTTATTATGACTATAAATCTAATTGTTTTCTATTTTTCTTTTTGAATGGATAATATTGTGATGGTTACTTGAACTACTTAAAAAATAGGAAGTAATTGCAAATACATAGAAATAAACTAGATAGATTACATCTTCTTTAACAAGCATTAAAAGAGCTTTCCAAAAACAAATTTGATTTTAAAGTGGTTATTAATCTTTTATGTGGCTCTAATTTTTTTTTTAAGAATTAATTTACAAGAACAAAATAATCATAGAAACATTTCACAACTTAGATATTCACTCCACAAAGTTTGTGGTCTAAAGATTTTATTTACATAATTTTTTTATTTGTTAGAGTGAATAAGTAATTTTTAATAGCATCAATACTTTTTTTTTATGAATATAGAAAGTGACACAAGAAATACATGAGAAGATATCCTTTGTGCATTTTAAAAATAAACACACCATGTATTTAGGTATGTATGTATATATATATATATATATATGCACACATTTATTTTGCATGTAATTAATCATGGTTGTGGTCATCGAAACTTCTTCACACACAGGGACTCAACTTTCAGCAGACACGGACTTTCAATACAGTAGATTACGGAGTTCACGATTCTAGGACTCTTGGGCGGCTATTTGCGTTGAACTGTTGACTGGCGATGGTGGTTTTGTGTTTTCTGGAGTGGACATGCAGGGTTCCCGTCGTGCATTTGTTGTTTTTTACACTAATATGTGGATGCTTTCGCCTCCGTAGGCTCAGTGCGAATTTAAGTCGATGTGATTCGCATCGAGACCATAGAATCTCTACAGATTGCATTGATAGCAACTTCTGACCAGAAAGTGGTTTTCTATATATTTATCTAGATTTCAATTTTTTTGTCAAACAGTGAGATGGAGAGACTGTTTCTCTGTCTTGATTCATGTTTAACAAAGCAATTTACGGGGATATGTGCATGTTGTAGAGATCGCAAGGGCTACTGTTGCACCAGCTCCGATCTGATTTGAGAACCTCGCTTGCACATGTCAACACAGAACTCGTGGATGTGCTCGGCACCGGTCCTACCACTCTAGCCTAGTCACAGATCGTCAGTATTAGAATCCTAATAATAACAAGATATAGTTCAGTGAATAATAATCTCTCTATTTGTTGATATTAAAGACAAAGTCTGTCAGGCTTTATACTGCTATAGGTGGAGCTGCCTGAGACGGCGCGACCCCTGCGCAGGGAATGTACTTCCTAGATTCTCGCCTCATAAGCGGGTTGGTTACTTTGCTCTAACGGCTTTCTAATAAAATGTTGATTATTTTCTGGACTGGGATATCAGTGCGTGTGTGGTCATTTTATCATCTTCGACACTGAGCAGGATTATATGGATCAAAACAGGCCCAGGGCAGACTTTCAAGGGATGTTGAAAAACTTCCTTACTCCTTCGCAGCTAATCGGTTCTTAGCTCCGGTCTTTCGCCGTAATTTTCACTGCCATAGTGAAGCATCTTCCTTAAGTTCTCTGCAGCTACCCTGAGGGAATCAGTGAAGTTTCCAAACAACTGTTGCTAGCAGTCGCTGGATGTTGATTTCGGTTTATAACATAGAGCAGTACCAGTGCATATTCCAGTTGAGGCCACGTACTGCAGCAATTACGGTAGAGTGTGGAAACTGACGCAGTTTGCAGTATTATTTGCAGCGATGATATGCCCTGATTTCCGGCAGATGGATTTCAAAAATCGAAGCTGCTAACTGAAGCATCGCTCTAATTGGGAAAGTTATATCTCGAGTCGAGCACTTGGCTGGTATTTGACTTCTTTTTGAAAAAGTCAGCGTAGATTTGGAGCTATACTGGTATGAGAGTTGACTCTGAACAGGAACAAGCCTCACAAATACTGAGAGCCTGTTCGATGCAAAACGTCTAGCAATTCACTTCTACAATTCGCCAGGCATCTCACATTGCATAATCCGCGAATTAGCCTTGTATGCCTGGAGGCATTCCCGGTATTCCGGTTCCTGTTTCATGCATTATGTACTAAAGGGTTGAATGTTCACTAAAGTTGGAGCAGAAATACATGCCAAGTCAAATATGCATCAACTTTACTGTCATTTGAAGAACTCGTCAGCTCGGCTTATGTACATCTTGGCTCTACCTTACTATTCCAAGTTCGATTTCGCATTGCAGCATGCTTGTCGACCGGGATATCTGGGCAATGAATATGGTGCGGAAAAGCTGGCTGGGGGATTCCTTACTAGACGGGCTGATCTCACAGTTACTTCAACGTAAATCTCGTAGCACTTGGCAACAAATCGTGGTGATTCATATTAGGTTGAATTCTCTTCTTCATACTATATATGTATATATATATATATATATATATATATGTGTATAAATTTTTTCCAGTGGTAGTAGTGCACCTCCTTCAGTGTCTCGCTTCAAAATTGACGCTTGCATCTAAATTGATGATTTCCAGACAAAGAAGAAGGTATACCTGGGGAGAACAAAACCCTTCCTTGATCAGTCCCTGGCGAGAACTCCAGCTAGAACATTGTCTTTGTTAGTGGCTAAAAAGGATTGAGGGGTCGCCATGGCTTAATATCGACTCTTTTACCCAGCAATTTGAGTGCTTTTTCTTTTGGGCAACGTGGATTGATTTGGTAAGGAGTTACCTTCTCTAAAGAACTACTATTTAATTGGTCTCTTTCGTGCAACCACGTTGTCCCGTCTTTAGAGTAAGGTTTTTTTTTCAGGCCTCCCATCGCGTCATTGTAGTTGCAGCTGCTTTGTGTTAGGCCTTTCCAACAGAAAGACACAGTTAGAGGGGCGTATTGTTTTCCTTTTTTGTCATGGCTTGTCTAGACCATTTTATTCGGTGTTCAGGCTTTTAACTGTATCTAGCTTCTTCTCCTCTCCTGACGTTGCAAGCCTAGTGCTCGGTGGTGCAAGTATCAATGCACGCTGTTTTTTTCAAGGTCTTGCATCTACTTTGAATTCTGCTCGACTGGCCCATGGTTTGTGTGCGTATTATCTTGCTTCGCATTCTACCAGCAAGGGTAATCGATTTCTGAAATCCTCGTTCTTTAGAGAGGGCTTCGATAGATTTCTATTTTGTCATCTTCTTTTCTCCTCTTTTCTGATAATTCAACCTTACTTATCCGTTTTTGATTCGAATAATTTCGTGCCAGCTTCAAACTGAAATTGAAGATGGGTTGGAGAAAAAGTGTTAGCAACTCGCAGGAAACACACCTGCCAGCCATCCTCGAAAAAAAGCTGTTGGATCCGATCATCATGGAAAGGAACCTAATGTTAGATCAAAGCATGGTGGGAAGAAGTCCTCTATTAGATCGAAGAGATCTCCGGAGCTGGTCCAGCACTCCTGCGTCAAGATCATCTCAATACAAACTACCTCTTCGACTTGACACGTCCATGACGACCACTTACAGGTTTGAAACTCATTCACTCAGAGATGAGGCTAAACCTCTGCTAACAGTGCCTAAAGCTGGGCAGCCGACATTCCAGCGCAAAGGGCGCGGAGCTAATCTTCATCGCTCTCAATCGTCTACTCGAGATCGCTCCAGTCTTCAGCATCCATATTTCACTCCTCAAAATTCTCCGTACTCTCATCAGGCCAGCCTGCAACGTCGACATCAACATGGGTCGAATCCCCAGTACCAGGTGAACCCTCCACTGAAATTCGACGAGAGACTGCTTCCGGAAAGAGAAAACTACGGTATAGCTGGCTTCAACACAAGCCGAAGGCACAGAAGCTCCACCTCAAGTCCGAGTGACTGTGACTCAAAGGTGGGCTCGAGGAGCACATGGCCCAAAAGGGGGTTAAGAATCTGGAGACCCTGGAGAAAACGGTTCCTGCAGACCATGATGATGCGTATTCGAATTCGCGTCACTTGCTCTAGATTGCTGCACAGAATCCAGAAGAGAATCAGAATTCAGAGACGCACATGACCGGCTCATTTGTTGCAAAATTACAGAAAGACAGACGAATAGATAGACAAATCATCAAATCTAGCTTACAAGGAGTTGACAGAACGATGTGGCCTCTCCGATACAGCCCACCCTTGTCTCTCTCTTTCTTTCTCGCTCTCGAACGGCGATCGACATTGCTTATCTGACCCTCATTCTGTTTCACGCAAACTTATGCCGAAGAGTCTGATCACGACCAGGAACCGTTTTGATCTCTGGTCCATCACCGTCGAGATGAGAGTCTCAGATTTGTCTTCGCATGTGCCTCTGTCTTACATCGCAATCTCCTGCTTGTGGTGATCGACAACCCACAAGTTGCAGGATTCTGCAGAAACTACAAGACCAGATGCACTTAGCTCTTCAGTAGAGGATTCGTCGAAAACTCGACACCGGGAGTTGCCTCACCGAGCGTCACTAGACAAGTCGGTGCAGAGAAATTCTAGGCTGAGGCTTCCATTGAAAAGCTTGTATTGAGTTCCAATGAAATCTTAAAACCACTACCAGTCAGAGCGGACTATTACCTTTTTTTGAATTGAATGGGAGATGGTTTCACAAGGATGCATTACAAGATTATTATGTAGTAACTATGGGTGTTTGTAGTTGAGATTGACTCATGTTGTGAAATATAAGTGTCGTTTTACTCATACCAAGAGGTTCAGCTTTTTCATTTTTTTTTCGTTGTTATTGGTGTTTTAGAAATTTATTGAGTGGGAAATATAGCAGTGTCATGTTGATAGTGTATTGGGATTTTGGTCAAAACTTGAGACAAATGATTTTTTGATTTTTCACATTGATTTTGACATAAACTCAAGTGTCAATAAGTATGAGAATGTTTAAGTTAAACTGCTAAGATCAATCAACTTTGTTTAAAATTGGTAGAAACCACTCTTGAACAAAGAGTTATAAGAGCTGGTGTTAAGCATGCCATGTTTTACTCATGTAGGCACTGATTATACAGTTTCATGGTAGCAACCCTTTTCTTTTCATGATACATAATTTCTTTTTGTAGATTGTAGTGATTACAATTAAAATCTCAAGTAAGAATAGAGTCCATTATAATGAACAATAGTCAAAGTTGAACAAAAATAAATTATAAATAAAAGATGATGATTAGTTGATAGATTAGTATCAAGAGTTGATTTAATGCAAATGTAGGATTGCTAAAGCTATTTAAACAAGTGGTTGTTGAAAATCCAAATCAAGATATTAAGTTGGCTAAAAAGACTATTGAAGTGAAACTTTAAGAGAGATCAAGATTTAATGGAGTTGCATAAAATTGATGGTAATTCTTGAACAAAGAATTGGGCACAAATTTTAGTAGAATTTGTCTATTAGTCAATGATTTGGTTATAAAAATTGTAAACATTTAGAAGGGAATTGTCAGATAACAAATAAGCCCAAGTTCTCATAGCAAGATTGTCACAATTGCTCTAGGTCGCTAATTCCTTATGCTATAATTCAAAAAGATGTATTAGATTCCAATTAATGAGCTTCATTCTAAGAATTTGACTTTGTGACCTAGTGTTGCTACTGTTCTATTATTATTTCTTTTGTGTTCAAGGTACCTTCAACATTCTCTTTTGTTTGGTGAGGTTTTAGAAGTTGAATAAAATTATATTTTGATGAAATCTACTTAGATGAAGTTAGGTCAATTTAGATGAAATTAAATTAGAATTAGATGATGGTAAGATTTGAATGAACTTTGAATATAGATGAAATTTTATTCATGGATGAAACTTCATGTATAAATAAAAACTTATTTTTACATGAAATATTATGTAAGAATGAATTTTTAATCAATGATGAATTATTATTTGGAACTTAGAACTTCTGAAATTTAATGCTTTGCATGCATGATTTGCTTAATTCTTATTAATTATTCAAGTAATTTGTAGTGACAATTAATGGTAGTTTAGAAATTTTGAGCTACCTACACTCAACTCCACACAATTTCTTGAATCCGAGTATAATTTTGCTCTAGAGTGTGTAGGACATCTCCAACTAGCCATTCAAGCTCATTGTTTAGCTAATGAACCTCACTTCATAATAATAGGATAGAATGAACAACTAGGTACATTGAAAGACGAAGTGAACACAACTAGTACGACATGAAAATAATATGAGTTAGATGAGTATTTATCTAATTCTAGAAGCCTTCACATCTCACTAATATTGAATTGCTGTATAAAATCAGACTTTTTTATATGCATAATGTGTCTTGATATTTGGATATTAAGTTGAAATTAAACACACTTCTACTTATCATCTCACCATGGCTCACTTCTATAAAACCAACAACGTATGAAAATAAGGCCAAAAGAAATAAATATTAAAAAACAAGACAATTACAAATAATCAGATTGTAATCTCAAAGAGTTGCACTCCATTGAGAAGATGCAACCTTTTAGGTTATAACCTCCTTGACAATATAAAATGAAAAATAATAATAAAAAGACTTAAAAGAAAGAGGCTTTGTAGAAGACATTCTATAATTAAATTGGAGCACAAGTAAATCTCTCTTTTTAAGAATATGGATACAAATAGCCTAACCATCAAAGAATAGTCTAAGTTTGATGGAGTATGGAACAAAGTCTAGAAACAAAAAATACAAATAAAATTTGAAATAAAAGAAATATAGAATGTAATTTAAGGAATTGAAAAAGAACTAAATCCTATTTCAAAACCAAATACAATAAGAACAATACTACCAATAAATCAAACCAAAATTCTTATGTAGAAGAAAAAAGATAATATTGCTTTTACTACAGTATAGGATTAAGTAGATAAAATAATTTTTTCCTATATAGGAACATGCAAAATAGCCAACAAAGAATGGTTAGCTGTCACAGACATACATATTTATCCTAATAATAATCTACATAATAAGAATAGATAGAAGTAAGTCAAAGTAGATAAATATGATAATATCTTATAGAAAGCCTCCTAAGAGCTTCATAGACACTGCTTTGCCTTTATACATGTCTATAGGTGATTGATAGGTTAAAAACTTGGCCAACAAAGTAGCCATGTGTCGACATGTTGACCATTTGTGGTACAAGTTGGACATATAGTACACACCTAGGAAACTTGCCTTGCAAATTAGACATGTGTCTTGCATGTTGAACTTATATTAGAGGTCTTATAGCATGTTGCCACATAGTTCTTAGTTAAGTAGTATATATAGAGGCAAGAGTGAAGCCTTCCTCATTCTTGTCAACTCTTTTTTTACTTTTAGTCTAGTTTCAAAAGTCTTATGTTTTCTAGGCTTTGGCAATAGCTATTCCAGTTCTTCTTAGAATATACATACTTTCTTTTATTTTGTCAATTTCTTTTTGACACAGATTCCACAAATTTATATATCTTCTTCTAATTTATGTCCTTCATAGATTGACAAGAGTATATATACAATATCAAAGCTTTATCCTTTCTTGATTAAGAGTGGATTATCTCTTTTTCTTGATAAGTCATAAGCATATTAAAAGTTACGGATTACCCTCTTCTAAACCGATATTGTTTCTATAATTTTTTTTTTTCTTGATTCTTGAATATTGTATTCTGTGAGAATAGACACCTTTCTTTTTATTGTGCTAGCATGACAAAGCTTGTTGAAATGAAGAGTGCAATGGCTAAAATGCAAGAATAAATGAGAGAGTTAATGCTTGCAATGCATCAACTCAATCTACCACTACAAGGAGCAACAAGATTATCAAGCAATGAAGATGAAGATATAGAAATGATTGGAGTTGCTTCAATATCTATACTAAGCCATACTACTGTTCTTACAATAGAACATCATTCAAGTTTAAAGGAACCAAAAATTAGATTACTTGAAAAGTTTGATGGCATAAGATCTAAATTTCAAGGATTCATCAATCAAGTACAACTAGTGATTGAACTACAACTTCGAAATTATTCAACTCAAGGATCACAAGTCAAGTTTATTGAAAGACTACTTTCAGGTTTTACTTTATCATGGTTTTCATCATTTTTTCAATGACGTGATCCAATATTGGATAATTTGGAAGCATTCTTAGTGGAGTTTCAATCTATGTATGGAAAACATGATGCAATCTATGTTGCAACCAACACAATTTGTATCTTGCAATAAGGCAATCGATCAGTGATATTATACACTTCATAATTTAGATAATTAGTGACAAATATCAAGTGGGATAATGTAGCATTCATTAGCCAATTTTTCTATGGATTATAATATAAAGTAAAGAAATTAATGTTTAATTTACTTGATCATGAGACATTGAATCAAACAATTGACTTTGCTAAAAAATGTGATAGTTGACTTTTTGAGTTTTAATCTAAGAATTGCACAAGAAAACCTCAATGTTATTACAATTCAATGTCGACACCAACGACTTCTTAATCTAAATATTTGAAAGTAGAAGATATGCAAATTGATGTAGTATATTTTAAACTTCTTACCGAACAAAAAAAGAGTAGTCATTATCAAAAAGGACTATATTTGTATTGTAGAAAAGTTAAGCACATTGTTCAATATTGTCCAAAGAAACAACACAACTACAAAATGAGAAGTACTGTTGTTAAAGATGAAAACATATTGGAAAATGAATTTATCCAGCTACAATAGGGATAGTACGGCTGAAATCTTACACAATTCCTAATGAAGATTCTATTATCTTCTCAGAATCCTCTCCTCGTTTTATAATAGATGTATATTTAGGATCTAATAATCACAAAGCCTCTGTCTTAATAGATTTAGGAGCCTTAACTTATTTTTTAGATGAAAAATTTGTTAAAAGTCATAATATATAGTTAGTATAAAAAACTAAATCCATACACATAGAAGTCATAGAAGATCATTTATTATCTTTTGGAGATGTTACTCATAAAACACTTCCTATAGATATAATAATAAATGGTCATAATAGTTATGTAATTTTTAATATAATTAAATCTCCCTTTAATCTAGTCATTTTAGGTTTATCATCGTTAGAAAAATAAAATCCTATGATAGATTGGATTTCTTGTAAACTTGACTTTTCTTCAAACATCATTAAGAGTTTTTCTAATCTAATAGAAAGCCATGAGTGTAGTATTGTCAAACTTGTACTTGTAGGTGCAAAAGTTTTTTTGCATGCTGCAAAAGAAAGATCATCTTTTGTTATTTACACCTATATTGATAACATATATTGATCAATTTATGCATCTTTTTTTTATCTTTTGTTTCATTAATAACCAATTCATCCATCTTCTTTGTCAAAGTTAACAACAAAGCCTTGTTTTGATCTCTTGATACTAATTTATTAGGTAATGCTTTTGTAGGTAATGATTTTTGATATGGGGAGTATGAAGAATACAAAACTGTGTTTGTTGGTGGTATAGCCTATAATGGAACAACATTAACTATCTCCTATGGATTTGCTTTAATATTTGTACCATAATCAATCATTCTTGGGTGTCTGCCCGCTGCTTCATTCCAAGATGGTATTTGATAACTTCCTTGAAATAGAATCATCATGGCTCCTCTAGTTAGGAATTAGTCATA